TAATAAATAATTAATAATTTTACTCTAGATTTTGATTCAATCAAGTGCTAATTCCTATGGTAATGCTGAACAAGATAATCTGTGGATGCTTACAAGAAAGGTTAAGTGGTTCCTCATAGGATGGAGATGCTCACACCAACACATGCACACCATCACCCAGCCCATGTTCACCCACAGCTTCCAAACCTTCTGAGATTTAGAAATATCAGATTTTCTTTCAATTACAGCCTCTCATAACCGATTTCATTGGCAAGCCTCAGGCTGGCTCTAAGAGCTAAACTGTACTGTTTAATCTGCTTGTTGACTTTCCAGTTTTAGAGCTGCCAGAGCTGCACCTTCGGTCCACAAAAACATCGTGCAGCTGCTCCTGTTCCCTTAAAGGCTGTTTAATATCCAGGGCTGTTAACTCTTCAGAAATGGTACAGTGTGAGTCTGGAAATCCCTTGTCAGTGCCTCTGCAAGCTGAGGATACAGCTGCCTTAAAGCATCTTTCCAAATGGACACGGACAGTGAAGATATTACACCTCGCCCACGTATCAGATAAGCTCTCGTTTTGTTTTCACAGCCCTGTGAAACACCTGCGTCCAGCCCCCTTGGGAAACCCTGAAGGACAGAAGAGGCCAAAAGCATTCTCTCAGTGCCATAATGAGGAGGAGAAAAGGCAGCACTCTGTGCCACAGTCTGGTTTCTCACTGCTTTGACAGCATTTACAGAACACCAATTGCCCTGACGGGTTTGAATCCTGCTGTAGATCCTCACTTGTGCAGCCACTGCTGTTTCAAGTCTCCCATGGGATTAGAAAAACAGGGGAACTGAAATTGAATAAGCCCAAAGTTCTGGGAAGGAAATCCCAGTAGCTGTATTTATACATGTACAAGCTGTGGGGGCAATCATAGAATGGTTTGGGTTGGAAGGGGTTAAAAATCATTGAGGGGTTGCATGGAGAAGTTGCTGGTTTTGTACTGAAAGAAAAGAGTGTTTCAGAAATTATCCCCCTTCATGTCCCTGCAGGCTCCAGCCAGCAGGTCCCTGCCTCAGTGACACATGTGATGGGGTTAATATTGCTGCATGCAGAACTTTACTAGAGCCTTGGGGAGAGGCTGGGCCTTGCTTTGTCACAGGCTCAGATAAATATTTGGTACCTCAGAGAGTCCTTCCCATTTCTCCTGACTGCATTAATGCCTCAGCTACCACCATTTCCAGAGATATATTAGTTACTGAAATCCCTGCTACCCGGAGTCCAACATAATCACAGCAGTAACGAGGAGGTTGCAGGGATGGAACCACAGAGCTGCCCCAGCCTGTCTTCACAAATAATTTCACCCTGGGGAGACTCTTCAGTCTTATATCTTAGAGATTTAAAGATGGGAAGCAAAAGCTTTGCCCAGTATCCAACAAGTCCTCATTTTGGATGGGAAGTGTTGCCTTTTGGGTGTGTGAGTTATGGAGTAGAGGGAGGAACCATGCTGTGCATCCCCAACATGCTTGAGGGGAGACAGGACCCGCTCTTTAAAAGTTGATTCTGAGACAAAATAAAGGTCACAGCATTATGAGATTTCTAGCCACAACACGTCATTTGTCTTTATTCCTCTGCTTTGCAGAAAGTTCTTGATTTACCCAGTGAATGAGACTCCCAGTGCACCAAAGAGATTTTGAGCAGCAATAGCCTGTAAAAAATCTGATGGAGCATTATCACTCATTAATCACAAGATAGAAAAGGCTGAGGTGGGGGAAAGAGCTGAAACCTCTTTGATTCTTCTTTCCCTGAAGTGGATTGCAGAAGGTGAATCCACAGATGAGCCAGAAAAAATCTTGTCCTTGTATTTAAGTGGATAAATATAAAGGTCTAGGGGAGGCTACTCCAAGCTGAGGAGGGTTTACCCATCTCATCTCTCTGCCTGTAAATGCATCCAGCACATTTCAAGGAGAATTTCACCAGCTCACTTTCTGCAGGAAAGGTTTTGATTGTATCAAACAACACGAGAGCTCTCAGCACCCTCTTTCCTTTCTGTCTGCAGCAAAAATTGTATTTGCATTTTTCTATGGAGAGTTGTTGTCAAATTGAAATCCAGAGATGGAAAATTGAACCCTGATGAGTTCTGATGACTTTTTTTTTTTCTTTGCATCTGAATTTCTGATGATCAAAGCTATTGAGAAAAACTCACACTAACTTGAGCAATGAAAATTGGACCCTACATTGGCATCCTGGGAAGAGCTGCCAGTTCAGCAGCTTACCAAAAACATTATCCCACTTTTAAGCCTGGAAAATGAAAATAAAAAAAAAAAAATTCCCATGTTCAGGCATGTTTCTGCCTGTCATTTTGGAATCCACCCACTTGTCCAGGCGTTTATATCTACAAACAGAGCATGTTGAAGCTTAACCTCTAACATATGGGTATCACATGTGGATTTTTTGACTGTACAATATTCTTAATAAGCAGATATTACAAATTCAAAATGAGCCTATATGGGGGCCTCCCCTTCTATGTTTTTATTCTCTTTAGAAGTTTCTGTCATGTCTGCCCTGGGGATGGCAAAACACAATAAAACATATTCTGTAGCTAATTCAAACTACCTGTCGTTGTCAGGCACTTAACAGGCAATGTCAAGACAATGTCCGTGCAGCTGGAAGTGCCTCCACTTTCTGTCTTTCTTAATCAAGAATTAGCTCATCTTTCTTCTCAAAGAGTACATGAGCTTTCTCCCTTCCTACTTTCCAGGCCATTTGTCAGCAAAGATTACTCCAGATTTATGACACGGTTTTGCCAGGGCAGCCAGGGTTAGTGGGTTATTTTTCCAAAGGAACAGCGCTGGTTCATCCCTACCCTCTCTCAGTTCTCTGGAAATGTCCACCTTATTCTGGGTTTGTATTGCTGGCTCTTGAGTGACCTAATAAATGCAGCTCTCTAAAGCTGTACATACATTAAAAAAGTGGGTCACAGGCTGCAGAACTTACAGGAAAAAAATACAGAGATGACAGTTCCAACTTTCAAATTATTCACCAGAAAGCAGGGCGGCTCCTGGCTCTCTCAGGAATGACTTTTCCTCAGAGCACTGACTAAACCAGCACTGTGTATTATATAAACAGCAATTAGTTGAGTTAAAGGCAAGACCACAGTAAGGTGTAAAATCCCTCTACCCAGACAACCCATTAAAGTGACTGATTTCATTTCTCACCCTAAAGGTCCTGTTGGAAGGGCCATGAATACATTCATGTTTGCTCCTTCTGCTCTGAGCCAAGAAATACAGAGAGAGCTGCAAATGGAAAAGCAGCACCTCTGCAGAAAGCAACCCCAACTTCTTCTTAGTTCAGCTCTAGCAAGAACTGGGAAATACGCTGCATAAAAACCCAAAAAGCAGAGAGCAGTTTGCATCTCCCTTTTGGTCTGCAAAAATTAAAACAGACATTTTTTTGTGGGTGGTTTGTGGCTAGTTTTGCTGTTTAGTTTCCAGGAGAGGAAGGAGTCCTCTTGCTTGGGTCATTTCCACAGCACAGTGAGGTACAAAGAAACATGCTCAAGTAATTTGGAGAGCGTGAAGAAGAACAGGGTTCTCACATCATGGCAATGTTTTACTCTTGGACCAAACCACTTTAAGGAACAATATTAAACCTCTGACTTTTGGCCCAGCCATTTTTTTTTTGTTGTTGTTGGAGGGGTCTTCCTATGCCTTTCCTTCACTTTTGGCAACTTATTATGAATTCAGGGCATGTAAAACCTCAGGGAGTCAACAAATGGAACAGGGAATGTCCAAGTTGCACAGGGGCAGGTTGTCATGGAGGGGAGACCCTGCCCTAAGTGAAGGTGTGAATGCTGGATGGTGTTACCTGCTTCCCTCCCACCCCTGGGAAGCTGAGGGCAAACTAACTCCTGAATTTGAGATATACAGAAGAGGGATTTGACCCTTCTCCAGCACCATTCCAGTGAGCTTGTTGAACATATAAAAGCAGCGATGTTGCTCCTCTGAAGTCAGTGATTTTATCAGTCTTCTCACTTAAGAAATGATCGATTTTCTCATATTACCAGGCTAAAACCTGGTAATATGCAGCCTGTAATATGCAGGTCATGAACTCATCTGTCTCCACCTTCCATGTCTCTGGGCACAGTACAACTTAAATTAATGGTAATAATAATAAACTCCTTTGGAGTTTTAACGATTATTCATTACCAAGAGTACATCAGTTCTGCAGTCTCCTGTTCCCTTGGGTGCCTGACACTCTGGGCTACACTGCTTATATTTAAGAGAAGCAATCAATAAACACCATGCAGTCCTGGCTTTCTGGGATGCTAATCTCTCTGTTAGGGAGTCAGGCACGCAGTCCCCTTGGCTTCAGGTAACATTCAGCCAAATGAAAGAACCCACCCAACAAAAAGAAAACACATCCCCAAACTGCATCTCACGAGAAGGGGGATGTCCTGGGACAAGGGGATGCTGGGGCTTTACAAAGAGAGTGAATTGGGGCATGGTCCTCACCAGCCTTCATCTTCTAACACAGAGATAAGAAGCTGTGCCCATACCCCAAATGTTTGTTGGACCCTGGGAGCATCAGAGTGGGTCAAGAACAGGGTTGAGAAGACATTGCTCCTCTGTAGGATCCTTCCTCCACCATCAAGTGACTTGGGCAAGGACAGAAGCGAGGGCTGAGACCTCAGGAGGCAGCAGGAGGAGCTCCAGCAACCTCAGTGGGTTAATATTCATTTGAGAGGGACTTACTGACCTGTGAACATGTGACTCACGTGCTTCATCAAGCCCTCCCCTTCTGAGCAGAACATCACACCTGGTTGCAGAGCTTTCTTTGGGCTGCACAACAAGGCAAGGAGAGCAGCCATCCTGCTGTCAGAGGGCTCTGAGCTCTCTCTCTTCTCTCTTTTTGGCCTCTGAATGTAATTCATTTAAGCTTTTATGAGGCAATTCATATCCAGATTTTATTAGAAGTGGAAGGGCCTTTTATTTCCTCGGTGTATTCATCACACAGAGAACTGGTGCTCTGGTTAATTTTATTTCTGTACTTTCTGTGTTTTAATAACGATCTCCCCAGTTCCATTCAACTCCGAAAAGATGGGGGAGATAGAGAGATATGAGGTGGAATAATGCAATCATGTACTGCAGACAGAGGAACAGTGACAAAAATGAAGTGTAATGAATATGGGACTGAAGCAGAGACATAAAAGATGGCTAAAAGTATAAAATCTGATATATTTGCACACCTACCAGGCATGTGTGTGCAGTCTTAAAAAAAAGATGCAGGTATGCTTTCAAGAAAAATGTTAAACAGTACAAAAAATTACTTTTATCAAAAAATATTCCAGAAGTGCAAACACAATACACACACATAGCTCTGGGGCCACATCTCTGTGTGCTTTTTTTCCTCTTTTACTGTCTTTTTGAAGCCAAATAAGATAAAGACTTACCAGAAAAAAAAAAAAAAAAAAAGAAAAAAAATTCTAAAATCTACTCGTGACGCTGTGGAGATGTCACACAGCTTCAAGATCCTACAGGCCAAGGCTTGTTCTTTTGGTATTTCATTGACCCCCCTCAGCTGCCTGATGTGGGATCTCAAGCCAAGACAAAGACACGAGCACAGGACACTTCCACAGTCCCCTATTCCATTCATTCTCTGTCAGGTGATTTTTCCAACTGCATCCAGCCAGCTCAGAACATCAGACAGACTCAGCAATGGCTGTCTGGGGCTCATGCAAGGGCAGCCAGGCTTTGTAAGCCTTGATTAAGACCCAAGAAGGGATTCAGTTCTGTTTTAACATGATTGCTTTATCTGGTACTCGTGGTTTGCGTGTCGTTGAATGGATGTGTTATGGTTTCTAGGGGATGCACGGAGTGCAGACATTGAGAGACTCAGTGGTGAGTGTTTCCTACAAGCCACATAATGGGAAAATTAAAATCTGCCTGTACTGGACATGGAATCCCCCTGGATGAGGCAAGGAAATTAATTTGAAATAAATGGTGAAGACTCCATCTTTCCCTGAAAGCCTGTGTATTGCTGCCAGTGAGTAACACAGCTTCCAGCCAGCTCCTAAGGAAACAAAAGATGTGTAACCAGGTGGTGGGTGGCAGTGCCCCATGGCAGTGTTTTGAGGTGCTGGGGACCAAGGGCCCTCAGAGAGCCCCAGAGCCCTGTGAGGTCCCTGCTCAGTTGCTGCACACCCTGATTGAACAGTGTAAACCCCTAAGGACAGAACTGCTGCTCTGGTTCCTGCTGGAGGGAGGGAGGACTGGATGTTCCATGCCTATCCTACATTTGCAAAAGTTGACAAGTCCCATTTCTGCTTGCTTTTAAAATGCAGAATGTCCTTGAAGACCCTCCTGAATTTTCCCTGTCCACGTACTCCTGCACCCAGACAGCCCAGAAGCTGAACAGAGAGTATTGTTTTTAACAAGATGCTGAGGATTCAGCAATTAATCTCAACAGAGAGACCTGTACAGTTTTCTCCAGTAATTCACTTAAAGTGGGAGGTTAATGGGATTCAATAGAGCTGCCCTTCATCACTTACAGAGAGATGGGCTTTCAACACCCCCAAGTGAAGTGGTTCTGGCATAAACACTCCTCCTCCTCTATCTGCCCTGACCCCTTCATCCCGGAGGGGATGCCACATCTCAGTGCTGCATGATCCCCCCCTCTCTCGAGGCTGATTAGCCGGAGCTGGAGAGTTCAGGGAGGTGGGAGCATCGGCATCCTCGCGGTGACGTTTGATCGCTGATGTCTGCGAGCGCTCCCAATTAGCCTGGAAACGCTGCCTCTGGCTCGCAAATACCTTAAAAATTAAGTTTAACGAAAAGCCGCCTGCGTTGCCTTTCTTCAACCCTCTCTGCCATATCAAAGCCTTTGAGAGTAGCTGAGGACAACTTTTATGTCTGAGAAGGGCCCATTTGAGCATCGACTCATTAGTGCCGCGGCTGTGCTGCGCACAGAGCCGTGGAGCATCCATCAGCCCACTTACCAGCAGCACTCGCTGAATATCAGCAAGTGTTTTAGGCTGTGAAGTCACCTCTGAGGGAGCCACCAAAGGGTCTTTCAAGCAGAAAGGTCACCCAGCTCATCTGCTTCCAAGGGAGCTGATTAGAGACGACTCGTTTTGGGAGCCATCGAGCCCCACAGCAAGTCCGCTCTCCGGGGCTTTTTGTCCTCCCTCCTCTTGCAGTAATGATGTGCAGCTCGTCAGAGGGGGCTCAGCGGGGGAGGACAGCAGCAGCACTTGTTTTAATAAATAACATTTGTGAGCTGGCTTTCAAAGCTGCAGCTTGGTGAGGGATCTGATGAGGCGTCAGGAGGGAAGACTGAGAGAGACACACTGCCACAGGTTGCCCAGAGAAGCTCTGGCTGCCCCATCCCTGGAAGAGTTCAAGGCCAGGCTGGATGGGATTTGGAGCAACCTGATCCGGTGGAAGGTGTCCCTGCCCATGGCAGGGGGTTGGAATGAGATGGCCTTTAAGGTTCTGCAGGATAAGGCTGTTTGTGCCTCCTCAATCTTCTCTTGGATAAGTCAACATTAGAAACATCACCTGGGGCGTTTCCCTGAGCAGTGATATCAGCCTAAGGCCATCCCTGTGGTGGGAAGGTAATAAGCTGCTGGCAACACACCCTGCTGGATTTCAGGGTGTGTTTTTGCACTGAGAACGTCTCGGGGCAGTTCTGCTCAGTTTGAGTGTCTTTTCAAGGACTGGCTGCACTCTCAGCTCTAGGTGATCACAATAGACCTGCTCCAGCTGCTGCTCTAGTCAAGATCCTTACAAAGGAGAAATCATCACCAGAATGTTTGCATAACAGAGAGTTAGGAAAAGCATTTGCACTGGGAAAACAGAAGGAATATCTTTAGTAGTTATCTACCCTAATTTAACATGACTGTTAGAGACATCTGATGAAAATAGTGCCAGAAACATTGCCAAGTGTATCTCCCTCCAAAATCAAAATGCTTCATAGCATTAGCCCTACTTTAATGATTCTGTTTTTTTCAACTAGGAAAAAAAGGCAGAGGGGGAGGAAAATTCTGAAAATAACACATTTCTTTTTTTCCCCTTTCAAAACAGCTCCTTGTTTTTCCAATACATTTATTTTGCATTATTATTTCTCATGTAACTGTGAAGAAATTAAATACTTGAAAACACAACAAAACATATAAATTAAACCAAATGTTTTGATTAATGCAAAACCACTGACACTTCTTTTCCTGAATAATTTAAAAATTAAGCTTAGAAAACCAATTTCTTGTCCGAGAAGCCTTTGTAAAAGAGAATGTTTGGCATTTTGCAGCACTTCTGTTAAGTGGACTGGTGTCAGCATATTACTCTTTTAATGTTAAAAACAATTTTAACCCACCCAAACTCCAGCTCTGAGCTATTTAGGAAAAGAAAGACATGTCTTTATAGCTCTTCTCTACAGTCTTTCAGCAAACTCTCTGGTTGTACTTCGCATTTCTTAACTGGGATATAAATCCTGTGTTTAAATTATGGTGACTGTGTCCATAGCATGTCTGATCTTTGAAGTAAAGGTGTAACTACAGTGGGCCATATTTTGTCCTTTATCCCTCATTCTTGTGTCACGAGAATGTACAGGATTTTTCCATGGAAAAAGTCTGGTCTTGAAAGGAAAATTAATGCAAAGTAATTTCCATGGGTGACACACAATCCATCCACAGCTGGACTACCTATTCCAGGGCAAACATTTCTCCCTAACCCATTGCAAGGTGAAACAGAGCTGACTTGCTGACCCATACTTGGACCCAACAGGAGCCTTCAGCTTTTGAGCACGTCATCAAAAAGTCATAGAGACAATTACATGCACCTCCAGTGAGGTTCACACACAGACTGGGTAGGAAGGAACCTGCAGAGTGCTAGCAGATGTGCAAAAACCCAGCTGAGCTGGGCAGAATTCCTGCTCAGTTAACGTGGGCAGAGGTTTGGCAGTGAAAGGTTTGAGCTGTGTTCAGCACACGGTTCCCTTGGACTGGCTCCTTGGGGGAAATCAGCTGAACAGCAGCAGATTGGACTCATCTTTTCCTGGGAAGGCTGCTCAGGTGTACACACGAGGATGGCAGGAGGAGACACCAAGTACCCCCCCTACCCCATGCCTCAGAGACATTCTGTCTTAAACTTCTGCCTCAGGGCTTTCTGCACGTTTTGTATCTTCTCTGTGATCACGGTGTCACTGAGGTGATCTCCAAACTTCTGCTTCAACAGCACCCTGATGATTTTGATGCAGCGCTCGTCCATCATGGGCTTCGCCTCCCGGAAGGTGTTGCCCCTCCGCCCCGTGATGGAGTGGCTCTGGATGTAGTCAGAGGTGAAGAGCTTGTAGAGCAGTGTCTTGCAGGCTGTGCTGATTTTCTGGTCAAACCTGATGGTTTCTTTGAGCTGTTCCTTGGTGTAGCCGTTGAAGAGCTCCACCACCTCGCACGGCTGCCGGTGGGGCTCCTCCTGGAAGGACAGGGATTCCAGCCTCTGCACCTTCTTCCTTAGAGAGAGCACATCCTGTTGGAGGTCCAACACCATCCTCTCCAGCTGCTCTATCTTCTCCACCCTGAAAAATTAAACTTGCATGTGTAAAGGCAAGAAGATACCAGGGCCTCACTATGGATATTGCCAAGGGGTGCAGCACCTCCACCCAAGCAGTGATTACACACCTCCTGCAAGAAGGGCCAGGACAACTTCTCTGACAGAGCATCAGCCCATCCAACTATTCTTGGGTAAGGCAGGAGAGAAGAATGACGTGGTCTGGACTTTTCAGTAACTCCAAAATGTTCAGTTTAACTCTCAGCTCCCCTTTGTCATGCAGACATGGAGATTTTGATGCTCAGTTTTCTTGTCAGTTGTAAGGAAAAATATAAACCCTATCCTGCAAGTCCCAGGAGGCACATATTTGTGGTATTAAACAGCAGACATGTGGGAAATGACAATGCAAGAACCGTAACATGAATCTTTTTGGCACCCATTTCTTTGCAAGAAAACTGTCCCCTAGCATCACTTTATAACTGGATACTTGTCATCAAAGTTATGAACAATAAAACAAGGAACACACAACTGTGTTCAAACATGATAGGTGTAGTTTTGATTGTTATAGGCAAGAGCTTTGTGGTTTCTGCACTGTTTTAGAGCCTTCTTGCATCTCTAACTCCAAGCCCTACAATCAGAAACACCTGGTTCTGATTATAAAGAGAGTCAGCAACTTTTGGTTCTTAAATTGCACCACTTTGTCACCCAGCTGTGATCTCACTGATCACTCTTGTTGTGAGGAAGAAAACACAGTTAAGAACAAGTGCCTTCTTTTGCTAATTACCTTTCCATCTCACCAGGACCGAAATTTTTTTGAACCCTCTCGAAGTCATCCATCTCGTGCAAAGTGTCAATCTTTTGCTCTTCAAGGCTGGAAGAAACAAGCAAGTTAAACAGCACTGTCACAAACATCTTCATGCTCATATTCATATTCATACCTGATGAGAATGATCTGTAATTCAAAGGCTGTAATTTAAAGCAAAGCCAATTCTGTTTTCATTTGCAGCAAGAATAAAATGGATGGAGAGGGAATATCAGAAGTTCTTCCCGTGGACAACCTCCTGTGCAGCCTCTCACACAGAGATGTGGGGGACCTCCCATTGACCCCCCCCCCCAAGGTATCAGGACTCCAGAGCAAAAGGGCCTCGATTGCTCTGCTGTATTTACCCACACAAACTCCTGTTACTTTTTGTGCTTTGGGTTTAAGCCTCCATTAACACCTGCTCAAAGCGAGCACCACCAGGGAATGGAAACAGAGTGGACAGACCCTGCACTGTGAAATCAATACATATCTGTGAAACATTCAGGGTCCTCACTGCACCTTCAAGTGTTACCTGTTCAGACAGATGTGTTGCTGGCACTGGGACAAGATGCCATCTGACTTCCTCTTCACTGGCAAGGCAACATAATCTGCAGCAGGGATGGGAGACAAGCTGAAGAATCAGCTGTTGAGAAGGTCCTAAATCCCCCTGTCTCCAGAACAGAGTATCTAAGCACTCCTGCTAGATTGCATGGCAACATGTTATTCCCTTTGCACAAACAGAGTGATCCAGACATGCTTTCCAGGATTGATCAGTTGGGATTTTGTTATAAGGAAAAGGTGGTATCTCAAGGGCTTCTCCTGTTCTCATCACAAAAAGGAGCCATGGGCGAGGTAAGCAGAGCCAACACGTCTCTGGACACTGCTGTTAGTCAGCAGGTAAATAACACCCTAACATATTTTTATAAGCACATTTAACGTGTGTAGCAGTGAGTGGAAAAGCAGGGAAACACGTAAATCTGGAAAGGTTTGACTAATTGAGGCACAAGGCTTTTGGGAGTTTCACAGTTATTCAGGCTACATTGCCTTTTGGCTTGTGGGGGCAGAACTGCTGTCCCGGGAGACAGAACTGATGGCTGACAGAGCAGATACCACACACTATCACAGGGGCATCTCCATTTAGACAGCCTTCCTGGAGGAGATCTCCCAGGTGAAAAGGACCACAAAATGTCATCTCTAACCTCTGTAGCCCTGAGAGAAAGCACACACAGCCCCAGAGCAAAGCAGAGGTCTCCTGGTAGCTCTGCAGGTCCCCATCCCACCCTGCCGCTCAGGACCAGGCAGGAGAGCAAGAACCCAAGGTTACCTCTGGTAGCTGGACCTGCCCGCTCTTCTTCACCCTGGGAAGTCCCTGGCCCGGGCATGGCCATGGTGATGAAGGTGGATGGAGGTGTGAAGGCACTGGCTGGGTGGGGAGGACCTGCCAGAGCGCAGGGGCTTCCTGCTGCATTGCCCAGGACACGTCTCTCCTTGATGATGGAGGAGCTGCCAACATCATGGGGCAGCCTGTCCTCGCCTGTCCTCAGCAGCTGCTTGGCAGGGCAGGCCCTGTCACTGTGGAATTTCCTGGATGCATTCCCCGGGGTCCATTTGGGGAAGGTTTTCCTGGATTTTTTGGGTGGGGACGGCACCATGCTGTGGACAGCTGGTTCTGCTTCTGGAAGGAAGGTGGATACTTTAGAAGTGCAATGGGGCATCAGTGTTGTGTTGTCTCCCACCTCCCTCCCAGTGCTTTTTACCCTGATTGCAGTGACTTGAAATTTATGATGGGACTACAACGCGCTCAGCATCCTCCCACCCCAGAAGCCCCATGGAAGTAGAAGGGAGCAATTCCCAGACTCACTTAACTTCTCCAGGAGCTGTCTGTCTTCCAGCAGCTTCTTCTCTAAAATATCCTTGTGCTCTGCAGGGAGAGAGGGTTTTTCGGCACTCCCTCTCGACAGGTTTGCTCCCGAGCAGCCCCAAATGGCAAAGCCCAGGGCAGAGGGGTGTCACTCACCACTTATGCCTTCCACCATGCCCCAGTAGAGCCCGCTGAAGCCGGGGCAGCGGGCCAGCACCTGCTCACCCACCGTGTAGAGGTGGAAGGGCTTGCGGGGCTCCTTGATGTTCTCCATGTTGATCACCCGGCTGCCGTCGGGCCAGCTGATGAGGACGTAGAGCTTGGCTGACATCAGGGCTGCCCACCTGGAGCAGGGGGAGCATCAGGGGGATGTCATGGCACAGCTCCCGGGCTCTCCCAGGGTTGGGAGTGTCACAAAACGATGCTCTGCCTGGGGCAGTGCAGCCTGCAGGTAGAAAATACTTCTCCCTGCATCTTCTCTACCAGTTATTTCTCCTTTCCCATTCCTGCCCTTCTGTGCTTGCCTCATCCTAAACCCCTTGGCTGGGAGGCTGCCCTGGCTCTGACTGAGCATGTGCCTTCAGTGCATCCAAGTTCAATTTGAAGTAGAACTGCAGGGACAGCCATGACATCTCACCTGGGGTCAGGCAAGACCAGCTCTCATGCAGGACACCTTGGGCAGATGCTGGATAAGCCACTGAGCAGACACAGGCTGGTTCCTCTGCCCATGTGAACCATCACAGCTCAAATGGCCTCAGTGGTTCTACAGCAATTTGCTACAGTGCAGAGCTGTTATCTATATGATATCATGGCAGTACGGAGAAGAGACTCAAAAAGGCTTGGGAGTATTCCAGGAAATTATCCTTGCTTTGCCTGTGCAGATATTCTCCACAGTAAACATTGCTTTGATAAGGGGAGCAGCAAATTCCCTTCATTTCACATGTGGGGAAACTAAGGCACAGACTGCAGTGACAGATATATCTAAGGCAGTCAAGTAGCAAAGCTGTAAGGAGCTGGATCCTGGCCACTTCCCTCCCCAGTGAGATACCCTCTTTCCCCCCCTGGATCTGCAGACATAAAGCACTGGAGGAAACAGAGTGCTCAGCAACAGAACAACAGCCAGGCTGATGGTGACTTCCTAAACCTCCTGTGCCAGAGGAGCAGCTAAGGAGACAAAGGCTGCTGAGCTCAGGAGGGGTTTCTTTGCAGCTTTCAACCATGGATGGGGACAAAATCAAGCTGACAGCACCTGCCAAAGCTCCTAAGGGCCCTGGCAGAGCATCACCCCAGTCCTGCCTGCTCTGCTCGGCAGCAGGATTTGGCAGAAGGGTTCTGGGGACAGGGGCTGAGCCTGTGTGATTGGCACAGCGTGGAGAATGGCCACAGTGTCCAAAGCTGATGGGAGGGAGCTTGGGCAGGGAGAGGAGAGGTGGAGCAGGGACAAGGTGGCAGGAAGGGCAGCTAGGAGCCAATTTATTGCAGTTTCTTGCTTCGCCTCCACACCCACATTAAAGTCAAGCCTGATGTGATTCTGCCTCATTTAGAAGGTTCAAATTCACCCTGGAGAACTTTCTCCTTCCCCCCCTCCACCACCACCAGCTACAGCAAACCTCCTTGCAGCAACCATAACTCTCCCCAGACCTGCCAGCCTGCCCTGCTGGCACAGTCTCACACCTGGTTCTCTCCAACGCCCTGCTGGCAGAGGCACAGTGACATTTATTTTTATCAGGAACCACCATATATAAATTATCTGGGTGGTAACTGCCTGTCTCCCCACATGCCCTTCCCTGCAGCAGGAGCCTGCCCCCAGCCCTCTCCCGAACACAGGGAAGGCTACAGACCAAAAACTGGGATAAATGCATAACTCAGCCTTCTCCCTCCCAGAAACACAGCTCCACATTCCAAACAGCAAAAAACCCCAGCCCAAAAAGCTCTCTAGAGGGGTTTTGCTTTCACATTTAAAGAAAACACACTGAGATCTTCACAGCTGCTGCTGCTCCCTCCTTCCCCACTAACCAGTTGTTCAGTTACCCTAATGAATGCAACAAAGCTACAACAAACACACAGAGAAAGAAAGAGATCAAAATCCTGATAGCAACAGAGCTGCTCCTTGCCTGGTTAGCACTGCTCCAGGTGTTGAGTCTTGCAAGATGTCTCCTGTCTCTCCAGGTCTCAGCTGCCTGTTCCCAGGAGAGGTGGTGGCCGGACACTTCTTTGCCTTGGGCTTGTCCCTTCACCACAGTTCCTTGTCAGGTCTCCTTTGTCTGGCTTGGAAAGCTCCCACCTGCTGTCCCCACTGCAAAGAAAAAGAGAGCTTTTGCTTTTTCTCCTGGTTGTTTTGTTTCAGCATTATTGTTCCTGTTATTTTTCCATAAACATATTTTGGTTTTTTTTCCTTAGCTTCTTTCAGGTCTGTTTCTTACAGGGAGAGAGAGCAGAAGAGAAGAGAAGAGAAAAAGCCTTGGGTTTTTTGGAGCATGAATAAACCTTGCATTTCCATGAGTTATTCATGAATAATTCATGAAAATGCATGATTAATTCAGGTTCATGAATTATTCAGGAATAATTCTCGAACATTCCTGGTTAATTCATGCTCACACAGCGAGTGAGTCAGGCTCTAGGGCTTGGTGAATTCCTTTCTCCCTGAGACAGGAGAAGAGAGGCTTAGAGAAGCTGCATTGTGCACTTGCTGTTTACTGCCTCTTAGAAAAGAACATATTTTGGGCCCTTTTTGCAACAAGGACTTGAAGAAGAGAATTGAAATGCCGGCAGCCTCCTGCCCACAGAGGAATAACACAGCACCAAAAGAAAAAAAAGAGAGAGAAAGAAATTAGACTTGCTCTCTGAGGGAAACCTGGCAGCAAGTTTTACTCCCTTTCAAAGCATATTTCTTCCCCCCGCCTTCAGATTTCTCCCTGGTTAAGATACATCTCAGCTGCTCCAGTTTTTACCTACTGTGTAACAAAAAGGACCTTCCACAGGAGTTTCTGCACCAGGAATCACAGGGACTTCCCAAGCCATGTGCCCATCTGTCCCTGCATGTGTGTGTGTAAACAGTCAAAGAGTCTCTTCTCCCAGGAAACAAGCAACAGGACAAATGAAAACGGCCTCAAGCTGCACTGAGAGAGGCTTAGATTAGATATTAGGAAAAGCTCTTCATCAGAAGGGTCTGTCCCTGGCACAGGCTGCCCACAGCAGTGGTGGAGTCACCATCCCTGGAGGGATTTAAAAGACGTGTAGATGTGGCACATGGGGACATGGGTGGGTCAGTGGTGGGCTTGGCAGTGCTGGGGGGAACAGTTGGGCTCGATGATCTTAGAGGGCTGTTCCAAGCTAAATGATTCTGTGGGTCTGTGCAAAGCTCCTTGACTCAGTGTCCCAGCTGGCACGAGCACCAGGAGTGGCAGTGAGCTCAGCAGGTCAGGCCTGGTGCTCACATTGGCACAGGCATCAAACTGGCCATGCTCAGCTTTGCTTTCTCTCTGTATTTCTCCAGACCTGTCTGCACAAGCTGCCTGCCCAATTCACCATCCTACCCCAGCCACTGAATGAGATGGAAATACAGCTAGGGAGTGAATCCAAACAGCACTACCTGCTTTATCTCAGATAAAACCAGCACTGGAAGCTGTTGGAAGAAAGGGAGAATTCAGATGTCCAGTGACATATTAGAAAAGGACCTTGATTAGCTTCAGAGGGTAAGAAAATTTCTGTATGTCTTATGTGCGGTGTTTACAGCTTAAAAATACAGACTTGTCAGCCCAGGTAAAACTAGATGTTAAATAGAGAATTAGCTGAGATTAGATAACACAGAAGATATGAATATGAAAGCAGCAGCATGTGACTTCTATGTAGTTTTGAATAACGTTGCTGAAGAATGAAAACTGCATAGGAAGAAGAAATGAAAAAGCAGTGACAAGCAGAAAAATATTTAATAGAGACAAACAACAATGGAGATGAGATTGAATTCTGGATTGATGCAGGACCTGGTTCAAATAAAATCTGCTTGAGAATTGGGCTGGTTTAAACAAGCATTGTTTGCTTTCCTTTGAAAAACCAAAAATATCCAAAGCATAACAGATGAACAGTGCTGAGGTAGAGGTGGGTAATTCAACTGAAAACCGCAGGAGAGGAAGGATTGCAGGAACCACAAGAGGAAGACAAATTGTAGTCTCATCAAACAACAGAAAAGTCAAGTGCCCATGTATAAAAGTACAGTGTTTGTGTTGAATTATTCCAGGAAAATGCGAGTCTGAAGTGAATCCCAGGTGTTTGACTTCAGGAAAATTAGCAAGTCCTGATTAGATTTCCCTCCCAGTATGTGAATATGAAATCCCTGGCCAGATGCCTCAGTTCCGGCTGTACGTAGAGTTCCTGTTTTCAGGAACCTCTCTTCTGCATTTCCTGGTTCTTTGAAAACAAGTCCCACACTGCAACCCCGGTGCCAGCACATGTCACCCTCCAAGCTGCACTTGCTGAGATTTAGATTTCAGCCCTGACTAATGAGCAACAATAGCTCCTTTGTGATCTTACCCAGAGATACACCAGGTGAACCCCGTTCAGCATCTGTTTGAGTGCTGCCTGGTCTTTATCAGAACAATCTTAATTGATGTTTGAAGGGATTTAACTAGCAAACACAGGTGGTTTTAGACTCCCTTTTCATTTAACCTCTACAATGTTGCTCTTCCTTTGGCTGAGTTCAGCAGCCTGTAGAATTCTAGAATGGTTTGGATTAGGAAGGACGTTCAAGACCACTTCATTCCACTTCCCTGCAGAGACACCTTCCATTAGATCAGGCTGCTCCAAGCCACATCCACCCTGGCTCAAATACTTCCAGGGATGGGGCAGCCACACTTCCCCTGAGCAACCTGTGCCAGGGCCTCACCACCCTCACAGGGAAGAATTTCTTCCCAATACCCAATCTAACCCTGTTGTCTGTCAGACTGAAGCCATTTCCCCCTCATCCTGTCACTCCAGGTCCTTGTCCAAAGTCCCTCTACAGCTCTCCTGGAGCCCGTTTAGGTACTGGAAGGGCTCTTAAGTCTCCCCAGGTTCTTCCCTTCTCCAGGCTGACTAACCCCAGCTCTTTCAGCCTGTCCATGCAGCAGAGGTGTTCCAGCCCTCAGAGCATCTTCTTGGCCTCCCCTCTGGGCTCCCTCCAGCAGCTCCACATCCTTCTAATGCACTTCACCACATCGGAATGCAGCCATAGTTCAATAATTGAGCTGCTTGGCTCATTCATTTTTATCAGCATGGTGAAATGACATGGGAACCCCTCAAGTGCTGTGGCTCAGTGGCAGCAGACACGAGACCAGCTCTGCATTCCTCCCATGCTGTGGGGAGAAGGGTCTGGGCATCGCCTGGGGGGATCGCCATCACCAGGGCACACAGTGGACAGAGAGATTCAGGCACTTGGTGCTGCTCCTTAGTCACCAGTCCCTTCTGGGATGGCAGGTTGGTTGATGGAGTCATTAGGATGGATCTGGGTGACGGTTCTGCAGTCAGTGGTGACAAACCTGTAACGTAAGTCACTGTCTGTACCCGAGAGCGACCACCCGGTGGCATTCTGCATTTGTAATGAAACAAGTACAAGTCCCATCTCTGCCTGAGATACAGGGAACAGTGAAATACAATCCAGGCTAACGAGGCTGGCATTAACTGCGTTTTAATTAAAGAATGTTTCCTTTCTAATAAGCTAGAAATTACCTAAATTACTCAGAAATGGGGAGTAAAGCCACAATCAGGGTCAGCAGCCAGCTAGACTGGTACATGCAAGTCCTACTTACCACAGCTTGTTAAATACTTTCCTAGATTGGAGCTTTTCCCTGTTATTCCCCGTGTGACAAAGGCCAGAAAACAATGAGAAAATGAGAGTCTAAATGCACCAGGTAGAGCTTTGCAGGGCTGCAGAGGCTGCGTGGGCTCCTGCAGAGTCCACTGGCCAGCAGGGCTTTGCATTTACCTAAATGTAAGCTATTATTCCTTCTCTATTATTGCCCTGAATTGATTAAGATTTTTTTAAGAGACTAAGGTATTTTATTTCTCTTCAGAAACAGGTTTCCCTTTTGCAACTCCATTCCCAAACCCCTCCCTTTTCACCTAATCAGCTTCCCACTGTTTTGCAAAGCCAGGCTGTCTGTATTTATTTGACCTTTGCACTCTACAACATCTGTTTCTTTATCTGCTTAGCAGGCTGATTTCTTGGGGCTCCTTTGCAATCTTGGCAGTGAGATTGTAGAAGCACAGTTAGCAAAAAAAAAAAAAAAAAAAAGGAAGAAAAAAAAAGGAGGGGTAAAAAATCACCCCAAAAATGGCAGGAACTTTGAGGGAGGGTAATGCTATAAACACATTTGCTTTTGAATATCCCCACACCTTTTTCTGATGCTTTCAAGTATTTAACATTAGCCTCTTTTTAGTGTTCAAGAGGACATGAAGGGGACTAGCAGGAATTAACCAAACTAAGGAAGTACCAGAAATGAAAGAATAGATCATTCTCATGAGACTGAAAAGGAAGAAACTATTTTAAATTGCAATTACAGTTGTAGGCACTTGGGAAATAGAAACTTGCTTAACCTCAGGTATATGAGCAGCTCCTGAGAAAGCAACAAGACTGACCACATTTTTTAAATAAAGCACATGCCTGCTTAGTCACAAAATCAGGGCCAAAATCCAGGAAAAACCTCAATGTTCCACACAGTAACAAACCCCACGGAAAGAGATGTTCCTGATGTACAGGTCAACATAATTTTAAAAAAAAAAAAGAAAAAAAAACCAACCAAACAAAAAACCCCCAAAACAAAACAAAACCACCAAAAACCAAAAACCAAAACAAACAAAAACAAAAACCAAACAAAAACACACACAAAAAACAAAACAAAAAAAACAACAACAAAAAAACCAAACATAAACCCCAAAAATGCATTTTTGAGCTTCAGATTTCCAGAGTGCAACAGTGAAAAAGCAGAAAAGAAAAAAAACATCCCAGCACATCATCTTACAAGAGGAGGAAATAATGCAGTGAGAAAGGGCTGATGCGGAAAATTCATCTCATCAGTCACCTCTTGGGTCCACATCCCTGGGGACTCACCACCCTTTTCCACCTCATTCCTGGATGGAAAGGTGCTACAGGGACACGAGATCCATGCTTGGGAGCGCCAAATCCGAGTGCTCAGCCTCCATGGAGCTGGCACTGCGCTGCCAGATGCTCCTGCTCATCCTCTGAGTCACTGCCCCCGTTACCTTGGCGAGCGCAGCCGCAGGTACCGTGAGGAGCCCCAGAGCCAAGAGAACATGTTGTTTCCTGTTACTCCACCAGCACAACTCCGATTCCAGATTCTCATCATGTTGCTAATTAATTAAATACAATCAGGAGCACGTTAGCAGTTGCAGAAGGGTCTGACTGGGTGGCACACACTGCGTGAGCACCTGTGAGCACGTGCAGGGTGCTGCTGCCTCCAGCCCTCTCCACAGCATCCCTGTGGAACAGAGCTCCTGCCCTCAGCACTGCCCTGTTGGTTCCCTCTCCCAGTTTTTGCCCTGTTGCTGGCAGAAAGCACAAAGAGCAGTTCTTTGGAAGGAATGAGATTTGGGTTGATTTTGGACAAGGTGCCACAAGGGACATCTCATCCCTCTCCATAATGTATCAGGGTGCTGCACTCTGGATCAGAGCTTCTGCAGCAGCACCTGATCCCCTGCCAAATAGCATGAAACCTTCAGATTTTACCTCACATTGCCACAGCACTAATTATTTCTCACAGGGCCCTTGACGCTGCTGAATAATTCATTGAATTCCCCTCTTTGAGTGAAAGGGGACAGAGCCCTTGCAGAAATGGGTGCATCAAGCAAAGCCACGCTGGTGTCACCGTGCAGGCAGTAAGCGTGTGGCAGGATGGTCTCATCAAGGACACCATCCCCAGGGATGCAAAGGGAATGAAAAACACTGTCAAACAGCCTTGTAGCAACGTGCTGTAAAATCAGGCAGAGAAATTGTCCTTGACCATCCTTCTCTCCAGTCTCTGCTTCAGGAGCTGGCATTAGCAAATGGGCTCTTGTGTGAATAGATCTGTCAAAATCCACGTGAGCGATTCCCACCCCAGCCCTGCCTACTCAAAGTGGCATCATTTTGGTACCTGACTACTTCAAAGGTGAAAGCATATTCTCTCTAATCTGCTAAATTGAAAAATCTACACCTCTCAGGAGACCACCTCGTCTCCACCTTCAATCTCTTCAGCCTTGTACAGTTGGTTTGTAACATGAAAAGGTTTCTCCTTAATTTCTTCCCCGGGAAAGAAGGAATTGATCTCTCATTTGTAGCACTTTAAATTGACATGTTGACTACAAAAATCCACTGCTCATCACTTCAAAGGCTGATCTAATAGTGCCAATTACTCCAGTAATGGAGATCTTCGCAGGGATGGGTGGATTAGTACAAAGGGAAGCAGGGGTGGGAGAAATGAAGTGACAGGATCAAGATGGATGGGTCCTCTCACATGCAAGGAGGTACAGGAAGAAGTGGAATCTGGGAAGACAGCGCTATTTTAAATCAGGATATCTGCTGTACATGGCAAGACAAGACATGACACATTCCTCATCTTGTCGATAGACACGGTTCGACCCACTCGTCTCCAGCTGTGGAAGTGTGATGCAGAGTCTGGTCCTCACTCATCTGGTAAATGACAGAGCTGCTCTGAGCTCAGCCTGGAATCCTGTGGATTGACAGCATGGACTTACACAAGATGTAACTTGCATGTTTGCAACAAGCCCAACATCCACTGAGAGCCAGTGGCAGGGAAGGCTTGTTCGTCCTTCCTGCTCCCCAGGTACTGCTCTAGTAAAATGCACTCTCTAGTGTGGGCAAAGCAGTAGAGATGGAAGATTCTGTGTTCCCCAAAAAGCCAACAGCCCATTCATTCCACAGCCCTGCTGCTCACAACCATCAACTGTACACAGAGCAGACAGCGAGCTGGTCACCACTGGCATTGCCCGTGGTTTTGAACTGGGAGCTGTGGATCATCAGCCAGCTTCAAGTATTTTCTAGCGTCAAGTGCTTCACATAGTGCCCTCTGGATTCTGGTTCCAGGTCAGTCCAGCAGTAGGTTTGGAGAGTATTTAGATCAACAGTCTCACCATCCTGCAGTGGAGGCTTGTGGCCTCTTTCCAACCTGTAAAAACAGTAAAAAAAAAAAATCTGCTATGGTCACAATGAAAAACCCTGTGCTAAGTTTTGTTTAGACTCTCTTACCTCATAATTCTGACTGTGAAATGCTACTTAGGAAGATCAAGACTGATCAAAAGCAGGACATTTTTGTGGATTTTTGTAAAAGGGGTTTTTTTTGAAGGTTTAAGATGGAGAGATTTTCACAGAATTACAATTTTTTCAGCATCCTGATATTTTGAATTTCCGCTTTTATCTCTTGCTAACCTTTACCTGTCCAGAGCAAACAGTTTCCCTGACAGCTTCCGTCTCTATGTGCCACTGCTGAGCATCACCTGCATGAAACCCTGCGTGCTCACTAAGGAAAACTCACTTTATATTCTTTGCAGAACCAGGGAAGGTCCTGCTTGCTCAGTTGAGCACTGAGATAGTTTATTACTCAAACCTCCTTATGGCATCGCTGATGTATTTTTGTCTCAAAGAAATCTGTTTATTGTCTGCTCTTAAATAAAGAGCGAGCGGCTCCGTGAGCAGCACAGCGGTGCAGGGAACACAAACAGCCTGTTACTCAAACACCATTTCTGAAGGGATTGTGTTCTGCTTTTCAGAGAAGATTAAGAGCTCAATTACAGTAGAGGAAGAGTCTTTCATTAAATCACACATAGAACATAATAAGGACAAATTATAAAGCTCTTCATAAGCAAATCTGTGTCAGACTGCTGGGTAAGGAGGCCCTTCCTGGGGAGCATCAGTTGTTTCTCCCGCCCTTCTGAAGAAGTGAGTCCCACACACCTCGCCTAACCATATTTTTAAGGAAAGCATATAACCAGATACCTATGGGGCATCCAATTCTTTCTTCCAGTGACTGAGATGACCAATATAAGCAACCATCCACTCATGTTTGTAATGAGTGGGACGAAGCCTTGGCTTAGTATTGGTGTGCACAGTTTAGAAGTGCAATGGTGTGTTCAGCTAACTCAAGAAAAGCCCAGAAGCTCAGTGTTGTCTCAGCTGTGGAGTTTAAAGAATCTTTAGGCCCAGCAGCTAAGGCATGGATCAGCTACCTAAAGCCAGACATCACACCAAGCCTGTTTCATTCCAACAGTCCTGCCATGCTCTCCCTATCTGCAAAGAATTCCACCCATAACCCTTCAGATAATAAATTAAAGCTCCTGTGTGCAAAGCCCAGACAAACAGAGGCAGAAATACCCACTGGCCTCTTTGGCTTTACTGGTGACTGCACACTTGTGAACCTGCAGATGAGGGATTCGATTCTATTCCACCACCCCCCCCAAGTATTTCAAGGCACTTCATGGCAGAGCTCAAAGGAGACAGCAAGGAGTTACAGGGCTGTCCAGAATCCTGTACCTGGGAAAGGGTGAGTCCAAGTTTAGTCACAGATTTGTCATTGCTTGATTTCGTTCTGTTGTTATTCTGTTCTCCTGAAATATATTATGGTTAATTAAAGGCGGTTAGCTAATTGGATTGTAAGCAGGTGCTGGTGGAAAAAAAAAGTGTTTCCCTTTGAAACCCCAAACAGAGATTCATTGAAATTCCCTTTGAAAAGACATCCCAAAAGCCCATAATCTGTTGATGAAAACAGTCGCCTGAAAGGAAAAAAAAAAAAAAAGCAACATTTTTCAGGAAGTTTCACAACTCAGGCAGCAGCAACCCCCATGAAGCATTAGGATTGTCATTACCACCACAAAACCCTTCAAAGGCTCAAAAACCTTTCTTGGGAAGTAGTGCCAGAATGCAGAAAGTTGAAAAATGATCCGTGAAGGCCTAACATTTCCATCAAGGGCAGGATGAAGTGAGTAGGGGAGCATGACTGGGGCTCTTCAAAAGCCAGACCTCAGAGCAGAGAAGTGATTAAATCCTGATATCCCTCTAATTATCCAGAAATGGATCAAACCATGTGAGAGAGCTCAGAAAGCAAGAGTGCTTGTAACAAAACATGTACACAGAGGGAGGAAGAGAAAATACAGCTGAATACACCCTAATGTTCTTCTTCAGACTGACCTGATATCATGATGCAGTGAGTCACAGACATCTCCCTCCAAATGTGGGTGGCAGAACTGAAAAGTCCACTGATAAGCAACAGAAATAATTAAGAGCATAAAAGAGTTATAATAGGGATTAGGGACTGGAGAAGAAAGAACATAAAAAGGCTAGACATCATGTAATACTGTGCATAATGAGAGTAAAATAGATGTTGCTACTCATTATATATCACAATAATCATAGAATAATTTGGGTTGGAAGGGACCTTTAAAGGTCACCTGGAATGACATTCAAAAGAAACAGAAAAACAATATATTAAGAGAGAAACCTATATTGAGAACAACCTATGATTAGAGGCAAAACAGCAACATCTTACCTTTGATCTGAAGGTTTATCAATAACCAGTGCTGTCTGACACTGAAGGAAACACTAAAATAAAATCCCTCCACTCAGATTCTCCCATGCCATGCTATCAGACATCCCCCTGCTCCTGCAGAAACACTGGACTTGGGGATGTGACCCCAGTGTGGCAGCATCACACCACCTCAGAAGAGTGCATCCCCCTTCTACACAGAAAGGCAGTTTTTACTTGATCACTAAACCTCTCTGGAAAGCACTGGGTGCAGGGTAAACAAGGACAGAAGTGTGGAGCAGTGGGTTAAATTCTAATTAGGTCGTTAACAGCTGGTTTCATTAGGCTGCCTACAAACAAATCATAGTAGCCTAGTGGCTACTGCATGGTGAAAAGCCATTTTGGTTTCTTAATGCTCTCACTTGTCAATGAAATTATTTTTAAAATGCCTTGTAAAGTTTTGCCCTTCTCAAAGAACATGTCAAGCTGATAGATGGGTGTGTGAAATTAACTCCCCTATAAAAGGGAGTTTTAGTGCACCTCAATAGCACTTGAAATGTTCTTCTCTGAAAATTTTCTCCAAAATCCAGGTGGAGCTTTCTCCACTGGAGCTCTTAGAAATTTGTGGAAGTTATAACCTTGACATTTATTTTATAGGAGCATTTTCAGCCAAAGAGTCAAGACTAAAGCCACAAATTCCTGCTCAAGCCCTGAGTTTTCTCAAATCACAGGTAAACCTGGATCTAAAGGTCTATCTAGAGCCCAGGACTACTAAACCCTCCCTAAAGAGGTCTGTTATAAAGCTTAGCTTGAGATGAAGGTAGATCCTTAGCTTAATTGAGTTAAATATTCCTCCTAAATCAGCGTAAATTATAATTGCTCCATTATAACTCATGGCTTGTCCACTCCTGATTTACTCTTCCTACTTGTAAAAGAGCTAGTTATCCTAGCCCTAAGCACCATCCTTACTCCTACAGCAGTTGGATGGCTCCCACTATTACTACTCTACAGACAAATGTTGGATTAAAGTTAACCTGAGAGCTTTATCCATTTCCTGCCAGATCTAATGGAGAAGATATTTCCATTAATTCAATGCAGCTGTTATCTCAGAAAAAGGATCTTGCTTAAATTAAAATAAAAGTTCTGCCAGAATCAGTATTGCTTTTTTTCCCCCAACCATTCCCTAAAAGCCTTCACTCACTTAAGAGCTTTTTATGTCATTTCAAATATTCACTACATGGCCAATTATTAAAAGAGCATTATTAAAATGCACCTGTGGTGCATTTAATGACCATCTCCAGCATATTTTTTTACATGTTTTTTCCTTCCACGTTTTCTTCAACAACAGCTAACCAGGTGCCCTCTCTCTCCCTTTTTATCTCCTGCTTAATCCATTTACTATCATCTTCCATGGCACAGCACACGATGTTTCCACAGCACCTCCCATGCCGGAGCCTGCACCGGCCACTATTTCCCGATTCAGCCATAAAATCCAGGCCCCAGCCTTTACATTCCCACCTCATCTTCCCATCCAGGGAGGAGAGTCAAGGTCAGCCACATGCAAACGAGGTATTTGAAGCTGAGGCGTGACGAGGCGATGATTGCTTGATGAGTGCAGGAGGAGCAAAAGGTCTTGGCTCTGCCTCATTTATTAAATCGCCCTCAAATGCCCAAGGAAAATTAAGGACAGAGCAGTGACGCTCCTCTGACCAGCTTCCTCTTGTCATTGTTCCTGTCACAGAGACAAAGACAGGAAGGTTACACATAATCCCTTATTCTGACTCCTGCTGTGATGAAAATGTTGAAAAACAGAAGAAGAAGAAAAAATACTCCTCAGTGACTTGCATCACATGAGCTCAGGATTCCCAGCTCTCTTACAAAGGGGGAAGATTTGGCAGGCAAAGAATATGAGAAGGAGCCTCAAATTCTCCGAAATCACAGTAAAAATATTTTTCCCCAGGCAAACCTTAGCAAAGCTGGTCACTTTTAAGACCCTTTGCACACACAGGAAAGAATCAGGGGGAAAGAAAAAGGGTCTCAGAAAATGTGAATGTTCTCTCCCTTGCTCCTGCACAGACAGTTTTGGACCCACACTTTCTGCTGGCTCAGCCTCCTGTGAGGATCCACGAAGTCAGGACCTGCTGGTTGCTGGGGAGCTCAGGTTATCTGCCTCATTTACAAACACTGAGGCCAACAATGCAAATAATTCCATGCAGGACTCACATCTTGAGTTGCTTCTTTCCCTCTTCCCAGCAAAGCAGGCTTGCTCTAGTTACTACAAGCAATGTTTTCTTCCTCCCCTCTGCCAAAGAACATGCTCCCCTCTCGGCAAGTGCTCCCTGGGTTACCCAATGCTCATCACACCCATGCTTAAGGAGAGTGGAATAGGTTCATTTATTACTTATTACAATGATTAACTCCCCCAGAGTTAATTCCAGAATCAACACAAGGTCTTCAGAAAGGGCTGGCACCTACTTTTCTTATTTTCTCCCCATTTGGTGGAACGTTTTCATTCTGTTATTGTTGTTTGGAGCAGTATATTTATATATAACTGGCTGAGGCTGCTTAAAATAGTACTACGAGATACCAGGGTGAGGGGTGGAAAACTCTGCTCTTGCACATCCAGTGTTTCTGTTGTTGGAAGCCTTAAAACCCACGTCTCTGGTGGGATGAAATGCATGTTACTAATCCAATTTCTAAAGTATCATGGAACAGGCTGACACTATTTTAAGACTATAAAAAAAAAAAAAGCCAATTTAACCAAACCATTTTCCATTTTCTCTGTTCCACGATTTATGACAAAAGGCAGGAGAGAAAGATTGTTTTGCAAACCATGTTTTCAAAACCCTAAAAATAATATAAAAACTGCTCAGCCATGCTCTGGGCTGTTACAACCCCAAAAAGCACTGGCTGTCTTTTCTCACAGAGTCACAGGAGTTGTGATGGGACTTCTACACCAGGTACCAACCCAGTGACCACACCTGATGTCTGTACGTGGGAGGTTACTGTGACAGGTCCCACAGGACAGTCATTTATTGTTCTCCCTTTGAATAATTACAGCACTTCTGTGTAGCAAAGTAAACATGAGCCTATTTTAATGGCCCTTGAAATTGGATGTGTGAAATGAGGTACACCAAACAGGATGTCAGCTGAACCTGCAATCTCCAAATGAGTCTTTGCGTTCCTCCCAGGAAGATGAATTGGATTCACTCCTTTGCCAGTGAAACTGCATCAGCTGGGAATTTGATACAGAAAATGTGCTTTCTGTTCCTTGCTGAGCCAAAATTCCCACACATTTCTTGTATGTCCTTCTTAGATGAGGACCATGTTCAACAGAGTGACAGTGAAGTAAAATGACAGTCCAGGAATGTGGTTTTCAATACACCGTATCCTCCATACACAGGATTAATGACTCACCAGCACACAGGAGCAAGGAAGGAACCCAAATGCATCACCATACATGAAGTCACATGTGTTGGAGGTCAAAAAAGTCTTGCAGAGATACTGGAAACCCTCCTGTGAAAACATAATTTAGGGAGAATCTGAGCTATTTTCTGGTTCTGAGGGTGAAGATGCTCAGGATATTCCACAGATGCTCAGCAGGCAGTAGGATTTTGCCTGAATCCTGCTCTGAAAATACCAGAGCTCAACAGAGAGCTGAGGGAATGATTTATATTGCATTTATAGGAGTCAAGGTCATGCAAGGGTCTTTCATCAGGAGCAAACAGCAGCCTGGAGGATGGGGTACACTGAATCCATACCACCAAATGCCCATTCTTCACCTTAATGCAAAGCTGCCACAGCTGCCCCCAGAGTTGCCATATATCACTTTTTATATTTCTCCTGTTGTGTATATTTTTGAGCAGCTGTTATATGTGGTCATGGTGATCCTGTGGGAAGCAGCCATTTGCCTGCTGTGATATCCACTAATACCAACACCTCATTCCCTTTGGTTTTGTTTGGGGGTGGTTTTTTGCCTACTTGTTTGTTGGGAAGGGGGTTGTTTGAGGTTTTACTGTTTGGTTTGGTTTGGGTTTTGTTGTTTGTTTGGTTTTTTTAATAAATGACTGGTGAAGTTGAAACTGCCAAACTCAAAAGAATGCAAACTAGGCCTGACTTACCAGAAATTATTTCTGATTGGGTTAGACCATTTGCAGGTTTTGCTTTACACCATCAGCCTGCCTGGGCTCTGTGTGCTCAACATTTCACGAAAAGAGAAGACAACGGACAATGCACTGAGCTCCCTTTCAAACAGCAAAACCTGTGTCAGCATGACAGAAAAGCAGAAAAAAAATAAGACAATATTCATCAGTTAGAGCAGAGCAAACATCCCACCATCTGCCCCTCTGCTGTTATTAATTTTAGAGATATTTAGAGACAAACCTGGGTCTAATGCTACCACCTCTCCTTTCAGTTCCTGATGTTATCTGGCACCCTCCAGCTTTGATATCAAGTGATCTAACACATTGCTGTCCATATGGAGCAGAGGGGAAAGGCATCACCAGGTTCTACATGGACAGAAATTCCCTTTGGAGACCCCCTTGCTGTCACCAGACTCTGGTGCAAGCGTAACATGACTTGATCCTCCTAGTTAAAGGCATTGTTAATGGCACAAATTTTTCCCTTGGACTTTCTAGCACAGCAAATGTCAGTGCTTGTAGTCTCTGCTCTGCAGTCCCTGCTCAGGCACCAAAACATCTGAACCACCCCCCTCAGCACAACTTTAATTGGCACCTACCTGTGGAGAGCTGCAGGGGGGAGAACCCACCCCCAACAACCACACAGAAAAACAAAACACTTGACATTGGTAGTCTAGGTCAGAGCTGAAACAAGAGGGAAAGTATTTTAATACCAGTGAAAGAGGGTTTTAAATGCTGAGTTTATTCTCCAAGAAAACAAACCTAATGAAAGCTTTCAGTCTCCTCACCTGCCACGGATATGTATTGCCGAGTTTGCTCCTGGGTTATGACTGATTTTTATTAGTCAGCTGGGACTCTGATATTGGTCCTGGTTAAGGTGCAGAGACGATATTTCAGAGCCAGCACAGCTCCTGCAACACACAGAGTTTCCAGATCTGTTGGACATTCAAGCCATGCAAACTGATACTTTTTCATCCCAGTGCAAAGATAACTACTAGGACGTCACCAATGTACCACACACTTCTCAGAGCTGTCCCTTCTGCCCAGCCCTCCCAATTCCCTTCACAGACTTTGCTCCCAAGCAGTTATTGATGGTGTTCATCAGCACGTGGAATTTCATCCAGGTTTTCCTTCATCTTCTCCTCCCAAGCTGTCTCCAGTCATGGTGTGTGGGCACTGCCTGATACGCCTGCAGCAGCAGCAGCATTAACGAGGTTCATGTCACAACTCATCATCAAAAGCAGGGAACAAATGGTTCTCACTGGGTCCCACACAGCCCCGTGGGGACCTTGTGTGGCTGCAGCTCTGGCACCAGCCCTGGAGCACCGGTGGCAACCAGCCAGGGGCACCCAAGGGATGAGGTGGCCCGAGCACCATGAGCCTTCCACTAGTAATGCAGCCACCCTACAGCACAGAGCTGGAGGAGCTGGGACTCTCCCTGGGGGAAACAGCAGCAATGTTAAGCTCTGGAGTTCAGCAGGACCTGCACCTTGCATGCTTTTGTATGGTTTTACCTACTTTTTAGCGGTCCATTGAACAAGCAAACCAAAACCTCTTGGAAAATATGTGAATAACAATTAGCTCTCGGTGAGACAAAGATGCATATTTATCAGAAAAAGAGCCAAACTAACTCTGGAATAATACAGAGGATGAGCTGAAAACAGCCCAAGTATTTTAACCCGTTTGGTGTCTAGACAGTTCAACCACTTTCCTGAAGGAAGGGTGCACTAAAGATGCATGGGGGCAAGGCAAAGAAAGTGAGAAGTCATTGAACACCCCTGTCTCAGGAGATGCAGAATTCTCCATGCTGGCAGCATTTCATCCTTATGGCAGGCTGGGAACATCTGCTCCTGGTCACCTTCGGACACAGGGCAGGGACAGACCGTGTTGTTCATCACGCTCAGTTCACCACCTGGGATAACACATTCACATCCCACTGCCATTTACGTAGAAATTTCAGGACACACAGGAGGAGCAGCCCATTCACAGCCCAGGTCCCCACAATGCTGCAGACTGTGGCAACCCAGACTCTGCATTTACACTTCGGCCTGTGTGCTTTATTTTTCCCCTCTGTAAAGTCTCCCCAAGTCCCTCCGTGCTCAAATTTCCAAGGTAATTAAGAGCAGCATTAGGAACAGGGATGGGCAATGTGAACAATGCCAAGGCTCAGCAAAATTTCTCTTCTCAGGGTTGACCTTTCCAGCCAAGGTGGGAGGAAAAGCCGGCATGAAAGAGGTGTGAAATCAAAGCAATAATCAAATCTAGGTATAATGAGAGAAGCTGGAGAGGTTTTCAGCACTCAGAACAAGATTAGCAGCTCCAGGCACAGGAGGAATGCGGCATTTTCCTCCCTGTAACAACTCTGCGATGCAAATTGCATTTCAAATCCCTCTCCCCCCAGCTCTGGGACCCATTCAGCCGCCAATGTGGTGCTGAATTTTTAAAGCCAAGTGCAGGCTGGTCAGAGAGATGGTTTGTAAATAAAAATCACAGAGGACAGCTTGGAAGCACCAGCCAGAACAAAGACCAGCAGAGCATGGCCATGGGGTGCAGCACAGCCACCCAACACATGCCTGAAACTCTAAGAAATTAATGCATTTGGCACTTGTTTTCCTCCCACAGGAGATATAGAAGGTGCTTTATGGAATCCCTGCCTCCTCCAGGTTGTATCAGCATGCAGGAGAGCACAAGGATGAAGGTTACACCATCTTCTGCTTCCAATTCCTGCCTCAAATCTCTCCAAAACCTGTCACTACTGAGCCTTCCCAGAGCCCAGATTCACTTGGTTCTTGCAGGATTTCAGTGCTGAGGAGGGAGATGAAGGAGCTTGCAGAGACCAGAGATGCAATTGCTGCCTCAGGTGCATTTCACTGCCCAAGTTAGTGCCTCTACAACCATTAAAATCAACCCCTTTGACAGCATTAAGCCAACATCAGAACATCAAAGCCTGTAAACGGTTGGAAAAGTCATTTCTTAATATTTCTCTCCCAGTCTCCCATTTCGTGCTGCTGTTGCAAGGGCTTATCCTATCACTCAGCAGCTTGCAGCAAGTCTTGGCAATCAACTTCAGATGGATTTTTGGCGTTGAGCAAATACAAGGCAATTTTACTCAGTCCCCAGTGAAAGAGATTTCAGCTAAATCAGATAACTTCTGTGTTCTGAGACTGGCCAGGCACTAACTGCTTCCAGATCCCCAAGTCTGGATGTCAAACTGCTGTAATTCCATTATGAAGTGGAGCTGATGGTGTCACCCAAGTGCTGGCTCTGGGGTAGAAGTTGGCCATGCCCCAAGGCACAGCTCCTGCAGCAAGGGGGGACTACAGCAGGAACAGCACCAGACCTGCCAGCTCCCTCATCTCCTGCAAGTAGTTCCTCAGCAAACTGCAAACCCTTCCTTTTCCCTCTGCAAAAGGAGCAATTCAAACATTCATTCGCCCTCAGATTCAGCCCTGCCTCCGAAGAGGATGGAGGCACAGCAGGAAAAGGAGTGATGAATAAGTTCTGAGTGGGATGGGAACAACAAGGATCCGGCTGTGTTCACTGTCCATCAGATCCAGCACATTTACAGCCCAGGGGACTGGGATGGCCCAGCAGAAGGACAGCTGCTGTCAGGACACCTCATCAGGTTGCTGGGGTCCTGGGTAGCCAAACAGGCACTATCACAATTAAACCAGGCCAGGTATTGCTTCCCCAATCATTGTCTCCTTCCTCTGCCACCCAGTTAGCTCTTTTCTGGAAGATTTGGGAGATAACACACACAACAGGGGATTGAAAACTGAAAAGAACTCTATGAAGGGTTTGGATTGGAAGGGACCTTAAAGATCATCTTGTTCCAACCCACTGCCATGGGCAGGGACACCTTTCACCAGACCAGGCTGCCCTGTCCAACTGGGCCTTGAACACTTCCACAGATGGAAGCAACAAAAGCAGTGAAAAGCCATTTATTTACATTCCATCTACTCCAACAACTGACACAGTGGTAGAGATGAGGTGCTGACAATCTTCCCATAAATATTATTCCCACCTGGATTCCCTTCTGTAACATGCCTGCTCCTTCCTCTGCCCTCCATCCACATCTGTTGGGCTAGAAAAGATGTTTGTAGAAGGGAAGAAACAACAACAAACAGCTCAGCTATTGGTCCTACGGTATAATGAACAATAAATGAGTTACTTTGCTTCTCTCACACATCACTGCTGCAGGGTGATAATACCATTTATCATACCTGAATGATAAATGCCCACTGAGTAGGGAAAAGCATCCATTTATTCCTAAGCTCTGCAAGTCTCTTACTGAGAAGAAGTTGGAGGACAAAGGTTTACAGCCTCAGCAGGATGATGAGCAATGCCTCATCCTCCATCCCC